AGGGAGTGGAGAATTGTGACTCGGATTGCCCATCAATTCTGAGCTGTGCCTTGTGCAATCTAAGTGAGTATTTAGAAGTTCCAGATTTCGACCAAGAAGTTTTATGTTGTCTTTTGGCATGACTACTTGACCAACAGTCAGTAGTTAGATTGTGACAATGAAAATAGTATATTGGGATGCAAAAAGCATGCCATTTATTCCGTCGTGATCAGATTACGAGCACCCAACCCTAAGCCAAATATTTCTTCGAAATCAAATATAATATACATTACTCAACCCTTCTAGGATGTATTACCACTAAACCACATCCACAGGTGCTAATGGGTCAAAGAAAATGCGTGATATCCGAGGCAATTCAGGCCTTTCGCATTTCACACTTAAGGAAAGTTTCTCGCTGAGGCGAACCAGCTCCGTTACTTATAGTTATTTTTATTTAAAGAATTCTCATTTATTTATAAATCATGCGCATGTTACTGAGAGTGAAGCACACACACACATAAGTTTTTACTTTAACTGTACACAGTTATCGAATTCTTAGTATTACTGCCATAATTTAGTATGAACATCATTTTAATTTATCATTAATATTTTATCATAAGCTTCGAGTCTGAACTAGTCACTATAAAAAATAATTTTGTTTTTAGCCATTCTTTGCCTTGCCAGATCTCTAATCTCTGTAGGGATTTGGGTACACCACTACTGATTGCATACCACAAGATAATTTTTTGATACCCGATTGAATTTTTTGCAATAACAGACAAATATCGAAATCTCAGTTCATCCGTCTTGGCAATAAAAAATCATAGTGTTAATGAGCTCTTTTGGGTAAGGGTATTAAAATAAATAACGATGAGCTGAAAGTAAAACTTGATTTCAGCCACTTTTCCTAGTGCCAGGCACCCCGAGCTCCTTCCGGATAGATCAATGTGGTACTAGAAATCGTGATATGTCTGCTGAAGTGCAGACTTAAATCTAAGACCATTTGGTCTCTGCACTACTAAGGTTCATGAAATCGGGGTAGATAGGAGTAATCAAACCTTGATGGCCAAAAACAGACGTTCCTTTTTTGCTGTCCTAATTACTTTGAGCCATCACTTCGGGTTTGGTGCATAAGCGAATACAAACAGGCAAATACACATACAGAGACAGACACACTCACAGGCATCGAAGTTGACCTATGACCTTAACTAATAAAATCAGTTTATACTTGATCAAAGAGGCCAGATGTAGAGTGTATATACCACTTTTTAGGGATTTGCCGGTGAGTTTTCTTAACTCGTTAGCTTGCATTTTGTTGCGACGATGTTACCTCGCTCTGATGATGTGCGTCACCTTTTCACATAAATCGAAGGAGATTGCCTCGGAAACAGCGTCAGCATGAATGTTCCTGGTCAAGAGGAATCCACCGTCGTCTTCTGATGGACCCGACCTTCAAATCTCTTCACCCAACACTTTCACTCGAAATGGAAGTAAGCTCAACACTTATGGCGCTAGTCCCGTCTGTCCTGGTGTTGGTTACATGTGGGTGCCTGAATCCTTAAGTCTGGAATTCAAATCCCGTTGGGGTTGCCAATAAGGCTCAAACGACCTTGAAGAAGGACACTAAATGAGATGCACGGTACAACCAAATCAGGTGTGAAATGATTGCCTTCTCAATTATTCATGGGCTGTCCGCCTCCTTTCGGAGTAAAACTGTGGGGCAAATGGTGTAGCCTATCCCCAATGATAATCTTCCATGGAATGCATGAAAATCCAGATTGCCAAATCCTCGGGCAGGCATTTCAATTCAAGTCTCAAGTCGACAACACCCAGACAAGTCCATGCCTTTATTGCCGCTTCATCGTGTACAACATTCTGTGTGCTGACTTGAGAGTTTAGTTTCGAGGGAGAAAAATGCTAGGATTCTTCCTGAGTAGCTTTTGGTATATTTTTACTGAAATTGTTCCTACCATGAGATTTGCAGTGTTAGATTTTACTAAAATCCATGATAGCCTCCATTCATGTGCTAATGCTGTTTTCCTAGGTCGAACCTATATGGGCCTGAATTGACATAAATGTTCATATGGTAGTGGTATTCCAACAAACACAAAGAGGTGATTCGTGGTAGCCATTTAGACAGGCTTTTGGTTTATCATCTTTCGCTTGGATTGCATCCAACCAAATTCATCCTGTTTTGGAAGCAGTTAAAATGGTCTTTTGGGTAGTCAGTTCGCGAAAATGTCAGCAGCATTTACTTTATCGCATTCACGATCGACGCGTTTCACTTATCTGGGTCTTTGAATTAATTGCCCTTTTGGCCCATTTCATGGCACACGTCTTCCATTTAGCCCCGATGACCTGCCAGAAGAAGGATGTACCGATTGTGTGCAAGTCCCCGGCCCAGCCTGCGAATGATGCTTCCATGTTCTGCCTCTGTGAGGGATGCTCTGAAGTTTGCAAGATGGGACATGTCTGTTGATAGTGATGCCGGGTTATGCCTTCGTTGGTGTCGGAATTGGCGGTGCAGACGAACACAATTAACACGCACTTTTGAACTCTCGAATGACTTGAAGCCAAAGTGTGTTGTCTGAAAAAACGCGTGCTCATATCGTTCTTCATGGTATGGTTATAAAATTAAAAATTACTTCATTCCCAATCAACACTTCCGTCCGGCCACGCTCGAGCCGAGGATGCATCTTCTTGTCTGTCGCTGGCCGTCTTTCACGCCTCCAAGGCAGGGACGTTGTTTATCTCTTTACCGTTATCGTAGATGTACCCTGGTCTGAGGGATGTTAAGTCGGGCTAGCAATGCCATTCGCCCTTAATAAAAGCGGTATTTGACGCGGCGACATTACTTCAGCTGCCAGGCTACACGTTCCAGAGAGCTAAGCATGCCTATAAACATGAGAAAAATTTCAGTCATTTTTACACTTTCTTTATCTTCAGATTTCACATGTGAAAGTGCATTTCCCCTGCTTACAACGTTCACTTATCGAGGCGCACGGCCAATGGCAGCGCACTACTAAAATTATATTAGTAGTCATGCCTAAATTATCAATCCAGCTGGATTGATAGTCAGACTGAAATTGCTATTTATTTATTGCATCTTTAAGTCTTTGATTATACCATTTGCCAATTTTCTCAACTATCAGACACAATCTCCATCGCATTGGAAGTAGGGCTTGTACTTCATGCACTCATAATCACTCCGTTTTAATTTTAGTTTGTTCGTAAAATTCGAAATTTCCCCCATTCGGTCTCAGCATTTGGAAAATTATTACCATTATTATTATTATTATTGATTTTAGTTTTAGCAATAGTAGAATATACTTAGCATAGGAAAACTGGCTAGGCTAGCCGAATCTTTTGTAAATAGTTTGGCTATGCATACTTCAGCATATTTCTTTCTACTGCCATGGAATTTACTTAGTTTGTGACCACTTGAGACTTTCCTTGAAGATATATTTTTAAAGAGCAAATCATCGGGCAGCGTGTATAAACGCTTAATTGCAGTTATTTGCAAACTCCCTCTAAGTACCATTCCAATCTACTCATTGTCCTCATGCGAAGTCTGTGTATTTATCTGGCTATTGTGAGTTGTGTTGAAGAAACTTCACCAACTATTCTCATCTCTGCGTTCTCCCAATTTCTGCTGATCCACTTAAGTCGAGAGGCCAAACATGGCAACGAACGAAGGCAAAACTTCAAACTTCAGGCTCTTCTCTCCAAACGAAAGACGGGACCAAACTATATCTTCAATCACATTTTGAACATAGTGAACAGCAAATCGTTTATCATGGTTTGACTTAAAAAGTCGACTACTTGACTTTCTATATGAAGTGTATTACCCTTGTTCTATTTAAAGTGATAAGGGGGCTGGTAGTTGAATTTTCCCACAATAATATAAGTAGACCTTACGTTTCCATTG